AAGTGGGAGCGCGGTTGGCCTTTGGACTTCGCAGCGTTTGGTTTTTAGATGCAGAAACCTCAGAGGCAATAAATGTGAGCTGGACAGTGCTGATCCAGGGCGTGTTTGGGAAAGAGAGCATGCAAAGATGCTTCACAATCAGCCTGCTTCGGTCAAACGCACATTTTTTTGCTTCGTTTCCCGAGTCCCAAGCTTCCCCAGGTTAAAAAAGAGACCTTATTTAGTCACCCGAGCCAAAAATGCGTGTAGAATAAGAGTAAAGGCTGGTTCATCCATCATCTGAGAGAAGGTAGGAGGATTAACTAGGTCATAAAGAAAAAAAAAAAATCAAAAACATTTGACAAGAAGATGGAGCATTGCAGAACAGCCCAGGTAGGAGAGCAGGAGAAGAGGCAGGCAGCAATAACCTCATAGCCCCTCATCCCGTGCAGGGACGGGCACAAACGCGTTAGGAGAGCAAGGGTCTTGCTCTGTGCAGGCAGGTTTGGGGCTCTCGCCGTGCCCGTCCGGCGCTTTCACTCGGTGTTGTGGAAATGGCAGCACGGGATGGGAACACGACGCGCTCTGCCCTGCAGAGATTTCACATCCCCATGCGGGATTTCAGCCCAGCTCTTTGGCAGAGGAAGCAGAGAAAAGCAGGACTCCAGTCTCAACCATTCTTTTCCAGTGCAGAGTTGTTTTCCTGCCCCAAAGAACTACTTACAGCAAATCCACCCCTTGTCACCAATTCCAAACCCCGCTACAGGCTGCCTCTGTGTGCTTACTCGTTTAATTAAATCGAAGCTTGGAGTTCCCCTCTGCAGAGATCACAGGTTCCCCTCCCAGAGATCCATTTCACTCCCTATGCACAGAAATGCATCTCTCACGGCGGTATCTAGGAAATAATCTTTACGTGCAAAATAGTCCATTCGGGATGGCAGCACCCACCATCGAGAAACCGCTGTCCCAGGGCGAGAGAAGTCCCCCGCATCTCCCATCTCCCCTACCTCCAGGAGGGCACAGCCACCTCTCCCCAGGGCAGGCTCCCTCCTGTCCCCCTCACCATGCTTACAGGGAGGGGCGAGCACCCCAGCAAGGCACCACCCACCCAAACCAGCCCCCAGACCCCCGTATAACCCCGATTGCCTCCCTGCCCCCCAGTCCCAGGCTTCACAGAGCCCTCAAACCCCACTGCTGAGACAAACCCCCCTGCAACAAGCCTAACCCCCAGGCCAGGGGGGAACAGGAGGGCTGGGGGCATCTCCCCCACTCCTCTCAGCTCACCCCCAGAGTTATTTACCAGCTGTACATGAGTACACAGAGCTGAACTGGCACCCGAGGGTAGTTGCTAGAGGTAAATATTGACAGGGAGGACCTCAAAGCAGCACAGCCCAGCAGCTGATATAGCAAGCTATATATTTTTTTTTTTTTTTTTTAATCTCGTCTACTCTCCCATATAACCCTCCAGAGCTACAGCTGCTCTGTGCTGCGACTCAGCCCTTTTACTGGAAACCTGTGCATCTTCTCCAGCTGAAATGGCTTTGCTGCGACCAGAGCTCAGGTGGCTCTGCCCGTCCCTGGCGCGGGGCTGCCTGCCCGGGGAGCCCTCCCCACCCTCAGAGCCACCGGCATTCCCGTCGGCAGGCAAGCAAGTAATAAACTCCTGAGGTGCGTGAGATTCATTCGAAGATTAAAGCCGCGGAGGCAAATCAGCTAAAACCAACTGAATGTTTGCCTGGCTCAATCTGTCCTGGGACACACAAAAACCTGGGAAAGATGAAGACACCTCGGGAACAGACGTGGAAGTCTGGTGTCTGGGGGGTTTGTACTGGGAAGAACTGGATGCAATGGGAAACATACTGGTTTTCTGAAGCTTGGAAATACATTTAGCTGCCCGCTGGTGGAAGGAGGAGCCCAGGCCACCGCTGAGGCCAGGCTGGGTGTGCAGGTGTCCAGGTCATTTTTCCCTTGTGCAGGTATTTAAAGAAAAAAGCCCCTATCTTTTAAAGTCCCAATGTTTTGGAATAAAGGCTGGAGTGTACCTGGGGGGCTAGCAAGTAAATCCCTCTTCATGCAGGGGTGGTTGAAGCAGTGCAAGCACAGAAGGCATATGGAGCACTCTGAGAAGGAAGCAGTGACTTTGGTGGCAAAATACTCCTTGCTCCCCAAGCACAGCACCCCTCTCCTATAGCACATTTCCCCCTGCGCATCATTTTTTAGCATTTTGATGGCCTAAAGGTTGTTCCCAAGGGTTTCACCCCTGTGCAGTGGGACACGGGGATGGGAGTGAGCGTGATTTGCTACGTCGAGATTTTGTGTCGTGCTGGAGGGTACAGAGGGAGGGGAATCAGAAGTGTTAGGTGCTTCCACCTTGGTTGTTGTGGCTGGCTCACGCAACACCCCTGAAGGGCAGGGAAGCCTGAGCATCACCGCCCTCACATCAAGAGGCACCGCGAGTGTCCTTATAAACAGCAGCATCCACTTACGATGGTGATTTTTATTGTAGAAGCACTCTTTTAATCTCTCACCAAAACGAGGGAGCGCCCAGCTCAGCCCGGGATGCAACAGGTAGCCCTGCCACAAGGAGCTGGGGGCTCAATCAGAGCTGATGGGTACAGGGGGACGAAAACCAGTGCTGTCTTCCTCGTGTTACTGGGATGTGGAGGGGAAGGGTTGGGAGCAGGTTGCCCATGGAGCTGGCGGCAGAGATGCCTGGCAATTCTTTGAGGAGAAGCTCGAAGCCCAAAGCAGAAGCTCTTTTGCCTGGTGGCTGCTGCTGTAGCGTTCGTGGTCGCATGGCTTGCTCTGATTTCAGAAGTGAAGGCACCTGGAAGACCCCTTCCTTCTCCCCGCTGCTCTCTGCTTAAGAGGACACCAGGCGCCGAATAGCGAAGAACTTGCCTGGTATTGCCTTCTTCTCTATCTCAGCCCATAAGGAGAGTAAATCTGTCTCCTCGTAGTCGATAGCGAGCTGGAAGGTGAAGTTCTGCAGCAGCGTGGTGAGGAAAAGGAAGAGCTCGATGCGGGCCAGTGCCTCCCCTGGGCACATCCGCTTCCCTGCGGGCACAGAAAGGGGAGGGTGAGCGCTGGGCTGATGGCTTCATCCAACGTTTGGGGAAAAAAGGGCATAAAAGGTTAGTGAGAAAGCTCAGGTTAAGGGTATATCTTTGGTGCCAACCGATATTCATGCTGGCGGTCCCTGGAGTGGGAGGGTGCCGGCAAGGCTGAGCACGGACCTGCCGAGAAAGCCATGAAGGCTTCACGCTTCCTGAACTCGCCCTTCTCATCCAAGAAGTGACCTGGGTCGATTTCTTTGGGGTTCTTCCACTGGGTTGGATCCATATGCACGGAAGAAAATACGGGAATAACAGTCGTGCCCTGCGGGAGAGAAACGAGGCAGGGGAGGAAGGAGGAATGTCGGTACTGCGACATGGGGCTCTGTTGAGGTGGGTTAGGAAGTGAGGAGCATCTGGGGAAAGGCTGGGTGCACACCCCGATGCCCACCCAGATGCCTGCAGGGAGGCAGCCCGGAGCGATGGCTCTGTGCCAGGCAGGGACAATAAACGTGGGGCTCTGCTGTCCCCGTGGTCCTGCTGGTCTCTGTGCAGCTCATGAGACAGAAATTATTGAGTTATTCCCATTGATTTATGTTAAAACGCCTCTTGCTGCATGAAGTCCAAAGGAGGGAGGTGTTGCTTCAAGGTGGGTGCTGTACAAAACCCCTGCAGTCAAACCCGGCCCGGCAGCTGTCCCCAGATCTGTGGGCAGAACTGGCAGCAGCATTCACCTCCCTCTACTCGTCCACGAAAAGGTTATCGCCATCTCCACCCACCGAGGATTGGGAAAGACCCCGGACCTTCAGGAGTGAGCAAACAGTCCAGGGGCAAAGGCAAATCTCATTCAAGCCCCCCTGCCACCCTTCCCCTCGGGGACATGGAGAACCCAGGACCACGATGCCTACCTTGGGGATGGTGTGGCCCCTGAACATGACATCCTGCGTCGTCATCCGCGGGAAGTTCTCGACGCGGGTTATGTGGACGCGCTGCAGCTCATGGATCACTGCGTTGGTGTATGGCATCCTCAGCTTGTCCTCCGTGTTGGGAGCACGACCAGCGCCCACCACCATGTCAATCTCCTCTTGGACCTTGGCTGGGGAGAAGGCAGGCGGGGAGCTGCAGTGCTTGCGGTGCAAAACCCCCCATAATTTCTTACTGGTCCTACTGGTCTTACTGGTCTTGAGGGGCACCTATCGTAGAGCCCAAGGATGATCTAGCAGAGAGGGAGCAACTCGGCATAACCCCTTGTAGAGACCAGAAATAGGGTCTCTGGCCACATAGCTCCTTGGATCAGGAGGTTCAAAGAATCTCTCATAGGCCAGTCCGGAGCCATCTGCATGGGCAGGGACAGAGAAAAGGGAGCAGGTACCCGGATCCCCCTGGCCTGTGTGAACCTGTGTCTAGTGGCTCTCACCCTTGGGTGACCCATGCAAGATGCTTTTCGTCTCCCCCCAAACAGGACCCTCCGGGGCTGTGACTCTCTCTCTGCACCTTTGGTGCACCGTCACCTCCTCAGACACAGGGAGCGGTCGCATTTTGCTGCCCTTACTTTGAATATGGGGGTATTTTGCCAGGATCAAGAGGAAGAAGACCAGGGTGTTGCTAGTAGTCACTGTCCCAGCACCAAAGAGATTGAATACTGACATGACCAAGTCTTCGTTGCTGTACATGTTCTCTGGGCTGCTCTTCTCCTGCAAGGATGCGGTGGGGAGGGGATTCAGTATCATCTGGGTGATTTTCCAGGCTGCAGCCAGGTCTGGAGAGCAGCCCTCGCCCCACTTTGCCCCACCTCTACCTTCTCCGCTTTCATAAGGAAGCAGTCGATGTAGTCCCGGGGGCAGCTGGGATCCAGCGTCAGGTGGTGATGCTCAACTCTTTCTCGAATGTAGTCCTTCAGCTTCTCGCAGTCAGCCAGGACTTTCCTGTGTGGTCCCGGGAGGTGATGCATGATGTTGGGGAAGGTGTTGTAGACCTGTGGATGGAGGAGGCCCAGGAGGGCTCAGGTGTCTGGACAGAACCTCCCGCACCTTCCTTCAAAGCCACATTGTCCCATCAAAGCCAAGGAGTGACCACAACCAAGGAGCATCACTCAACCGCCTGAGTGCGTCGGACATGAGGTTGCTGAGCGCAGCAAGAACACCTACCATGGCGATGGGGGAGACAAAGAAGCTGATATAATTCCCTATCATGTTCAGTAGCTCCAGAAAGGCCCTGTCACTGTAGCTGTAACGGCTCCCGAAGACAACGGAGCAGATCACATTGGCAGCTGCGTGTCTGAACAACATCATCGGCTCAAAGGCATTTCCTGCAGCCACAGAAGAGGCAAGAAAGGCAGCAAGAAGTCAACAGTTATTTATCTGCTTCAACACAGAAAACACCCTTCCTCCCGCTTTGAGCCCCTGTCCTTTGGACTCTGAGCCCTGGTTGAATCCGCTGAAGCAAAGAGCCCTCCTGAGCTGGGGGCTCCTGTATCTACCTCCCTGCTCCTAAACCCCTCCCCAGTGGTTGGGACGGAGGAAAGCCGAGGCATCTCCAGGCACTTTGGGCTCCTGCTGACGTGCCCTGGGGATTTAGAGGGCTGCAGAGCATCTCCCCATGGCAACCAGCCCCTCGCCATCACTGCACATCGGAGGCAGAGGATCCACCGTACAACTGAGCTTCCATCTCCTCTTATATTCAGGAAGCCCCAGAAGAGGTGGTGGCACTGGCAGCAGCTGGGTTTTGTTGGAGAGGAGGACATCACCCTGATAACCCCCGTGTCACCAGGGCAGTATCTTATCTGTGCGTTCTCAATGCCATGCAGTTTAGTTTCCTGTTTCTGTTCTTTCGGCGTGAGATATTCCTCAGCGATTGGCACTCCCTGCGCCAGTTCAGGAGCAGGATCTCCCACCCTGGCCTGTAAGCCGTGACCCTACCGCATCCCTGCAGCTCTCTCTGGGTGGGATGGAGCTGCCTCTAAGCCCCTTCTCTACAAGGATCATCTGCAGCAACCGTTGCAAACAGCTCTGGGGACCACACGTGGCCCATGAGGCTGTTGTGTGTCCTCTGCCTGCCACAGAGGCCAGGGTGGACAGGACCCACGTCACCTTCGAGTTTTGCCAGCAGTTCCACCAGGTGCTGGGCCTCTTGCTGCACCCGCTGCGACATGGAGCTCTTCCCCATCCCAAAGTCCCGCAGGGTGCTGAGACTGAACCTCCGCAGCTCCTGCCACTTCTTCTCGTTGTTGGAGATAAAACCTGGAGGGAAGCAAAGGAGAAGACTCACGTGCCCACTCCACCGCTCCTCCCCAGGAACGAGGGACCTTGCTCTGAGCCCAACTGAGGAGCAATAGAGCAATAAGCCAGGGAATGACCCTGCTGTGTGCACAGCATCCTTGAAAGGCTGAGGATCTCTACAGAAACTCAAACCAAAGCTGAAACTGGCTAACTGGAATTAATGCTGTCCTTGGACAAGAGGCTTCATAGTTGGAGGGACTTGCAGAGTGGGAAATGGGTGTTTGAGGTCTTGGGTGGTGAGTCCTTCACTAGACTCGAGCATGGCCAGCTGCGGTCAGGGACTTTCCACTCACCCAGAGAGCAATACTGTCTAAAAGAAATCCAGACACCTACCGTAGTCTTTCGATAGCTGCACCTGAAGAGGTATTTCAGGTCTCCCTCCGAACTTCTCGGAGTGGCCCAGCAGAGCATCCTTCACCACCTCGTACCCACAGAGCACCACCACCGGCTTCGGCCCCAGCCAGACGGTGAAGATGGGACCATACCTGCTGCTGAGCTGGGGGAGGACGGGAAAGCTGTGCTGAACGAGGGTCCTGCACCCCAGCCCTTCATCTAATTTTTAAATTAGGTCCCGTGGCTGCAATGCTGGTGAATGCACAGGCACCTCCCTCAAAGCCAGCATCTTTACCCCGCTCCCATCCCATCCCTCTTCCTGGGGGGTTTCTGATCCCAATGCCACTTTGGGCGTTCGAAAGCATCATCTCTGGGGAGCAACTCTGGATGGCAGCAGTGCTGCAGCCTGGAGGGGGGTTAGTGTCACCGCCGTGGGTCCCATACCGGAGGAGAAAGACTGCAATAACAATATTCATTATGCTCCCAGTATCAGGGATTTAGGCAATTCTGGCAGAGCAAGAGAAGAGGTGGGGAGGAAGAGACAAGAAAGGTAGGAAAAGAGTCACCTGCACGGTTCCCCTTTTGTTTTGACTCGGGACATTCACGCTTTCTCTCCTACCGGGGCTGGTAACGGGTCTGCCACCGCCAGCTCCTCTCTTACCTTCTCGTAGGTCCTGTAGAGGGGCAGGACGTTCTTTTGCCATAGGTTGCCCAGAATGGGCCATGGGGCCGGTCCAGGAGGCAGCTGGCTTCTCTTCTTATGGCTTCTCCCGACCAGGAACCACAAGACGGAGAGGAGGAGGAGTGTAATGAGCACCCCAGCCGATCCAGCATCCATCCTCAGCCGTGCTACCGAGCAGGGGAAAAAAAAAAATCAAGAAATTCCCCCTCCAGGGAGAAAATCCCAACTGAGCAGGGAGCAGAGAGGAGCCCAAACCTGCTGCCTCTGCCCTTCTTCGTGCTCTATATAGGCACAGCCCTCCCTACGTTCTCAGGGCTATCTCCTGGGTGTCCCCCCGCCACTCCCCAGGCGGTCAGTGACACGGAAACACTGGTTTCTCCCGGTCAAACACATACCTGGCCCCGCCGTGTTGTAACACGGGTCTCAAAGAGCTGACATGGGGTGCTGGAAGCATTGCGAAACACCGCGGGCGTGCTGGGGGAGATAGCGGCTCTCCCCTCCCCACGTAGCTGAATCACTTTTTGCTCGGTGCTCCCTTTCCGTGCCATGAGAAGGAAGACGTTGTCACCATCTTGACAAAACCTCGAGTGTCACTGCCAGGTCATTGCTCGTTTTGTCACTGCCTTGCTTACCAGTGCAATGACCCGGGAGGCGATGTTCTCGTAAACAGAAACTGAGGGACCCTGGAAGCGGGGCACACGTAGCTGGTCAGGTACATGTTGGGTGCCAATTTTCCATCAAACTCCTTTCTGATGGAAAACGGATCAGAAAATGGAAAAAACATTTTTTTTCTGAAATATTTTGGGGTTCCGCTTGGGTTTTGTAGGAACATCAACCCAAGGTGTTGCAGTTGTTGCAGGTGTGGGGTTAACTCTTCCTCGGGCTCCTCTGGCCTCTTCAGGGCTCCTCTGATGTTTTTGAGTGTCTCGATTTGAGCACCAGCACATCTGGCTGCACGCAAGCACATCTGGTGCTGGCTCAGCCGCCGCATCTCTGGTCAAGAGTGCTCGCAGCCCTTGACCGAGCGAGCTGGTTGCGAGCCAGTTCCCAGCAAAGGATGCGATTTCTCCTGGAGAAAAGGGCTGGAGGAGAAGAGGGAGGAGGTTTGATTTCGTGCGAGTCCCTGCAGTGGAAGGAGACCCTCAGCAGAGGGCATTAAATGGTCTTCCCTCAGAGGAGCCTGAGTTGTAACGCTCGCCCAGAGCAGAACATCTCCCGCCAGTGTCCCGCCGCCGGGTGAATGGGCAAGAGCCAGGATGGCATCCGGGCAGGGCTGATAGAAACAGCCAGGACTTCTGCACTTGCACCTGTTTTTGGCCGCGTAGCGGGGCGGTTGGCAGGTGTCAGGTCAGGGATGTTCAGTGCCACCGGCCGGGCTCGTCCCAACCAGGGCTCTGGGGGAAGGTCTTCCCTGGCCATGATGTGATTCCTTACACATATGCACCAAATCTCTCTCAAATCACCAAAAAGTGACTGCCAATGAACCTCCCGCAGCCCTGGAACTGCTCTGTTTCAATATTTTGATTTTTTTTCCCCCTCTTCCCCATGCTGCTGGGGGCCAGAGGGGGCTCCTGCCTCCACCAGCACCACAAACACACTCAGCAAAAGGGGTTTTGGGGGGAGAGGGTCATGGCAGATGGATGGGCAGCCCCACGGCAGTGCCAGGAGCCCCATAGGTGAGACCCACTGGGGCTGAGGCCAGGAGGTTACCGTGACTCACTTGTTTACCCTGTCCCATCCCGTCCCATCCCTGCTCTTCCCACGGATTGCTCTGAATTCTCAACTGGGGTGCCTGCCAGTGGGGAACTTTGCTTGGAGAGGTGATGCAGTGACTGGGATTTTGGCAGAGGGGTGAACAACCTCTCGGTGACTGACACCGTTTTTTTCCATGGCAGCCAAACAATACAAAGGAATCACTCAAACAACAGGAAAAGAAAGAGCCATGGGGATTAATTTGAGCTGCAAAGTTTAAATCCGATGGAAAATTCCCTCTTCTGCGGGCGAGCTCAGGCAGAGCCCGTGGCCGCCTGCCTGGACTCCGATAGCATTTCAGTGCGACACTTATTGCTACAGCAGGTTTTTTTAAAGATTAACGTCTCTAATGCAACAAAAAAAGTATTATTATATCACATTTTATTAATGAAATAGAGAAAACAAACAAATCACCTTGGAATTTGTGAGTCCAGGTCAGCAGACAAGAAGTTTAACAAGAAATAACTCCCAGGGATGATGAAACTTTGCATTTGTCTTCTTGAACTGCTTGATGAAACTTTGAGTTTCTCTTCATAATCTATAGAATAAAATAAACCAAAAGACCCCAAGTACAGTGCCCGTGTAGTATCTCTTGTCAAGTGTGCAGAAAAAAAAAGGGAGAGGTAGAAGTTGTCAACTAACCTTTTAGAAGCTGAACACCACTGTGCCTGCAGACAGCTCAGGAGGGAAGAGCACAGGTGGGCTTTGGCACAGCCCCTTCGGCACTTTGTGGTGCCGGGACCTAAAGTGAGCCCAAACTGCTGCATACGGACCCAAAACCATTGGTACTTTTCCATCTTTCTGCTGATTTTCTTATAAGGGCTTTTGGAGAGCAGAGGTCTGTAGAGAAGCAGGCTACTGCAAGGCTTTGGGATCCCTTCAGGAGTGGTTGGTGAGACCTTTCTGCCCCAAAAACTAAAATACCAGGGAAAGGTCAGCCAAAAACCCGCATAGAAGGACACACGTGACATGAACATAAAAAAAAGGAGAATGTGTTGACCTCTAAAAAAATTAAAAATCCATTTAGAGATTGCCAGGGCCTTTGGATTTTAACTAAAAATCATATTTGGGGACTAAACTCACGCAGAAATAACAAGTAAAAGCAAATGGGGAGCAGAGCAGCCCATTCCTGCCCTGCATCATCTGGATGCTCCTAGGGTGCAGGGGGGAACGTCTGGTCCCAGCCACGCCCCATCCCGGTGCCAGGCTCTGCAAGGGATGGGGAAAAGCATTGCTCAATTAAATGGTGGTGTTGCTGGATCAGACCCAGAATATATCGGAGGGGTAGATTCAAGGAGTTAGAAGAAATGATGCTCGTGGGGTGTTTTTCAGTGTAGACGTGTACTTGGAAAAGCTGCGAGGCAAACAGGGCAGAGCAGAAGTGAGAGAAGATGACTCCCGTTAAATAAAGAAGTCAGTAACTGTCTGGGTTGTTAGATCTAGGAAGAACTGCTGGAGGAAATCATAAAGGTTGTTGCTGTCTCTCAGCTAGCGCTTCTCTGCAATCAGTCTCAAAAAAACTTGACAAGGATCGGGACATGTCCCACATCACGGGGAGGAGGATGGGGAGCAGAGCCACGGCACGGCACAGCCGGGAATAGGGTCTGACGGGGGGCTCGCAGCTGCAGGAACTGGAGGCATCGCTGGAAGTCATCTCCTCCAGCCTCCTGGTCCAGCAGGAGCAGCGGGAGGAGGCTGCTCCAGGCCATGGCCAGTTGGGCTTTGAATGTCTCCAAATCAGGGACTTCACAACCTCTCTGAGCAGCCTCTTCCCATGTTCAGCCACCCTCACAGTAAAACTGTATTTTCTTATGTTTAAGGAGCATTGCCTATATTTCAATTTGTGCCCATTGCCTCTTGTCACTTGGCACCTTGGAGAAGAGTCTGGCCCTGTCTCCTTTACTCCTCTCCATCAAGCATTTATCCATATGGATAAGATCTCCTGGAGCCATCTCCTCTCCAGGCTGAACCATCTCAGCTCTCTCAGCTTCTCCTCATCAGAGAGATGCTCCAGACCCTTAGTCTTTGCAGAACTCGCTCCAGCATGTCCACGTCTCCCTTCTACTGGGGAGCCCAGTTTGGGACAAGACACGCAGATGTGTCCCACCGGTGCTGAGCAGAGGGGCAGGATCTGCCCCTTGACCTGCTGACGATGCTCTGACTGATGCAGCCAAGGAAGCTGGTGGCCTTCTTGGTTTGTGAGAGTGCACTGCTGGCCCACGGTCAGCTCGGTCTCCTCCAGGACCCCCAGGGCCATCTCTGCCAAGCTTCTTTCCAGTATGGTGCCCCCCAGCATCTCCTGGGACCTGGGACCGTTCCTCCCCAGGGCCAGGACTTGGCGCTTCCCCTTGCTGAACTTCACCAGGTCTCTCCCAGCCCATTTCTCCAGCCTGCCCAGGTCCCTCTGGACGGCAGCACGACCCTCTGGTGCCTCAGCCGCTCGATCTCATCTGCCGACTTTCTGAGGGTGCACCCTGCCCCATCATCCGCATCATTAAGGAAGGTGTCAGACAACATTTCTGGAGACTTCTGGTCCACAGGCTGTCAAACACAGCCTTCGTGGCAGCACCGATGGGTAGCAGTTACACCGCCTGAGGTTTCAGCCTGGGCTTTGCAAAGCCCACCCTACCTCCATGCCCCCTTCATGTTGAAGCCAGTTTTCAAGGCCGATGCCCAGATCCCACCTTGAGTAGGAAGCAAATCTACGCCTGCGGGTTCCCCTGATCTCGTGCTTTGCTTCAGCTCTGCTGGCTTAGAGTAAGCTGTTACACTCCCGCTAAGGCAATTAATATTATCCTAATGCAATTTTCCCCCCGTCAGCAGCCCAAAGCCTCTGGAGGTACTCTGCTCACCCCGGAGCCTCGACCGTGCAGAACAAAGCATGCGTAAAAATAGCTGCAAACCATTTTCATCTCTCCCCTTTTCCCCTCTGCAAGCACAGGGGTGAGACAGGCCCGGCAGCCGCTCTCTGCGTAGCCCAGGCCAGCAAATGACTAAGCTGGGAGTATTTTTGGTTGCTCTTAATAATGCAGCAGTACTCACTGTGTTGGAGCCTGGCTGTAATTATAGGGCAAGTGTCATTTGTCATCGCTGTCATCTCCTCTTGCTGGGATGTAGCTCCATGGCAGCGTGATGCTGAAGCCCCTTTTACCCTCCTGGGGAGTCATTTCTGGAGTTTGCTTTGGGATCCCTCAAGAAAATCCAGTTTTACACCACAGACCTGCCCCGGTGTGTGGGAGAGGAACGCTTTGATTTGTCTTAGTAATAAAAATGTGGGTTTTTTGGTCCCAGGGCTTTCTCTGGTGTGAGGCAGGCAAAGCGGTGGAGCCGGCCCCCTTCATCCACTCACCATCCTCGTGCTGTCAGTCCTCGCCTGTGTGTCTCAGCTGAGGTCCTCGGCTGAGAGATGGATCTTGCTGGAGATGGATAGCATCAGCATCTTGTGGTCTGAGCTCCCGGTCATCAGCCTGGCAGCACGGGCATGGAGCAGGGCTTTGG